CATTCTAGTTCAGGCTGGCCTCAAACTTAAGGTGATTCATCTGCCTCAGTTTCCCAGATCTAAAAATTTTTACCTGCAGAGATAGTTATTAAAGGTGATGGCTATTTTATGAAAATTAGTTTTAAGATAACAACTCAATCCCAGCAGAGGCAGAGGCAGTCGGATCTCTGTTAGTTCAAGGCCAGCCTGGTCTGCATAGGGAATTCAAGGTCACCCAGGGTCATAGTGATAAAGCAGGCAACACATAAACTAGTCAGAGGTTAGGAAGGAGAAATAACGGAAGTAAAACTGCTTTAAATTATCATTTTTAAATTTTATACGCACGTACGTGGCATACGCACGTGTGTGGTATATGTAAATGAATTCACACCGGGGTGTGCATCTACGAATCTGCAAGTAGGCTGGCAGCCACCAAGTCTCAGTCGTTCTCTTCTTTCCACCCCCTAACCGCCCCGGGGCTACCGTGGGTACTGGGGATCAAAACCAGGCCCTCCTGGCTGCACAGCAAGCACTCTCATCCACTGGCCATCTCTCCAGCTGATGTCCTTACTCGAACCTTAAGAAAAGCTATAACTAGTAGCTCTGTGAAGGTGAAGTTGATGCCAGGAAATGAAAACTACTGTAGAAACCCAAGTCAACAGAATGCTTTTCCTTCACGTGGCACTGTGAAGCCGTTTAAATAGCATCTGAGCGTTGTTTGTCTCAGGCAGAGAAACATTGGGAAACATATTTTTGTGCAGAACTTATCTTTTAAAATTTTGTTTATTTTTATTTTATGTCTGTGTTTTATGTGTGCACATCAGGTGTGTGCCATGAAGGATGGAAGAGGTTGTTGGATCCTCTGAAATTTGAATTATGGTTGGCTGTGAGCTGTCATGTGGGTGCTGGGAACCAAACCTGGGTCCTCTGCATGGGCAGCCAGTGCTCTGAACAGCGCAGACATCTCTCCAGTCCCCAGAATTTATCTTTAAGCTTTCAGAACCAGTGGATTAAACCGGAGCTGGTGCAGGCAGACTGAGGTGAAGCTGGGAATCCTTAGGCAGGTGGGGATGGAGGATGGAGGAGTTACACACAACACTACTCTGTCAGCATAACCTGGCAGAATTGCTTTTTTTTTTTTAACCTCTGGACTGTGTTTTTACTTTTCCTGCTCCTAAAAATCATGAAGTCACTTAACACAACAGACAGTGACATCATTTTAAGCTGACAGTTGTAAAGAAAAAAATATTAGAAAGAATCTTCCTGTGGCAAGACTGCTGACATGCTTATCTTTCTCCCTCCAAATAAGTATATCCCTGTTTCCTTTCTCAGATAGACATGGTGGTGGTCTTTTTCACTTCTGTGTAGATATATCCCCCCAAATGAAGGTGTCTTCTATAATGACAATATGATGAACAATGTTGCAGGATTTTTGATCCCATTGTGAACCCCCAAACTGTGAACTGTAAAACCCTGTTTTTTGTTTGGTGTAGTTGAGCCCTATCACACACCTTTAATCCAAGAACTTTCTGTACACAGGATTTAATAAAGTTAACCCTAGGTCAAGAGGCGGAGCCAGAAACCAGCTGACAGGGATTAAAGACTAGGTGGGACTTTGAATTGAGGGTATTTAAGACAGTGTGGAGAAGAAAAAGGAGCTTTTAGCTCAAGTTCTGGCTTTAGCTTCTGCTCCTCAGTCCCCTGCCTTTTTAGGCTTTCAGCTAGAAAGCCTTTGCGGCCTTAGGTTTTTTGGCCTTTTCTCCTGGGCTGAGAGTTGAGCTAGTGAGCCTTTAGTTTTTGTTTGTTTGTTTGTTTGTTTTGTTTTTTCCATTGGGACCTAAGCTGAGAAGGAAGGTCAGCCTGGTGTTTTCTCTGCCTCTCTGAGCTAGCAGGTTTTCATCCCAGCATTTGGCTCCTGAGTCTTTATTGGGTAAAATAGAACAGTTGGGATTTTCATTTTTATCCACAACAACAGAACATCACAAAATTATCATGGACAAAATGCTCACAATTAATTCACAGGCTTTACTCAGATTCTATCAGCTGCATCAATTGGATGGGCAAAGGGAAAGCACTGCACTTGATAGTCAGGTCCTGAAAGCAACTATGGCCTTTATTTAGCAATTCTTCACCTTTATTTAGCTCTTGTTAACACAATAATATTATTCTTTTAAAAACTTTAACAAGTAGATTATTCTGTTGCATGTCTTTCAATTGAGATTGGTTTTCAATTTGTGTTCTCATTAAAGTCAAGGTTTGCATTCTGGGTGGGGATAGAGGGGGAGCAGGAACAGAACAGAAGTCTCCTTGTCTCTTCAGTCTACCGTATCAGGAAGTAGGCAGTGTTTCCTGGTAATTCTTGACCTAGGGTTAACTTTATTAAATCTCGTGTACAGAAAGCTCTTCGATTAAAAGGTGTGTGCTAGGGCTGGGTGACCCACACCAGAATCACCTAGTTTATAATAAACAGAAAGTTCTTGGATTAAAGGTGTGTGGGACCACACCAAAGAAACAGGGTTTTACAGTTCACAGTTTTGGGGTTCACAATGAGATCAAATATCCTGCAACAGGTAATGCTGATCTTGACCTCTTGGATAAGCTGCTGTCTGTGAAGTCTAGCCTATTTTCTCCCCATTAAAAATGTATTATTATTATTATTATTAGCACATTATTATTATTGTGTGTGATGTGTGTGTGTAGATCAGAGGGCAACATGTGGGAATTGGTTCTTCTTTTCTACCATTTGTGGCCTGGGGCTTGAATTCAGGTTGCTTTTACCTTCTAAGCAATCTTTTAGAGTACTAAGTTTAAAAATATGTTCTCAGATATTTCTTTAAAGTTTCAAATTATTTATTAATTTACTTAAAAATGTATATGTGTGTTTTGCTTGCATGAATGTGTGTGAATCGGGGTGTGCTGGATGCCCAGGGATATCAGACCGGCTGGAACTGGAGTTATGCATGCTTGTGAGTCACGGGGTGGGTGCCAGGAGCCAAACCCAGGTCCTTTTCACTAGCAACACTGCTAAGCCATCTCTCCAGGTCTGGTTCTGTGGCATTCACTCTGTTTGCAGTGCTCTCTAAGCACTCCATTTACACTGCTCTCTAAGAGTCCCCATCCTCCATCCACAGAGACTTCTCCAAGTTCCTTTTCTTTAATGTTCCTGAGACAGGAGGCCAAACTCTTCTTATTATGTTAAATGTGTTCTTATTTCATATTATTTTATGTGTACAGGTGTTTTGCTTACCTGTATGTTTGTGCACCGCATGTGTGCTGTGACCTTGAAGACCATAAGAGGGCAACAGATCCCTTGGGACTAGAGTTAAAGCTGACTGAGCTGCCATGGCACACTGGGAACCAAATCCATGTCCTTTGCAAGAGCAGCCACTGCACTTAACCACTAAGCCATCTTTCAGGCCCCAAAACATGTTTTTTGTTTTTAAATAGTACTCACTCATGCTGTAGCCTGTGCTGAGTTTGAAGTCTTTCCATTTCCTCTTAAGCGCTTGGATTACAGGTGTGTATCATCATGCTTCACCAATAGAGTGATTAATGAATCTACAGACATTACTCAGATATCATCTGATTAGCATGTGTCGGAATTTCCCACCTTCCTTCAGGAAAAAAAAAAAGGTAATATTAAAGTTAAGAATCTCAAGGAGAAAAGACCAAATCTATGGTTGTCCAGTTAAGGCAAGCTGCTTTTTGGGGTGCACCTGATGAGGCTGGCCAGCTGGCTGTCTCACACTAAGTCGGGATTTGAGAGAGCAGCCCCTTGAGGTCCTTTTAAAAGAAGAGATATGGTGATCACAGGGCAAGAGAGTTGGCTGTTATACTTTGTTAGGAAGATACAATGAAAAGGAAGGAACAAGGCTAAGGATGTTCATTGTGTGAATGTGGTCATAAGATTAATGTAGATTGAAGAAACATGTTTTGCAGTTTACATTAGATCTGGAAAAACATAAATTTATCCTAAATTACATACAGAAGCCTTAACTTGTAAGGACTTAACACAGAACAAACAGGAACTTATTCTTTAGTTATTGCAAGGATTTAACACATAAACAGGTATTTATTCTTTAACTACAAACAGAAACTTTAGCCTGCACAGGACAAACAGGAACTTATTAACTGCAAACAGAACCCTTAACCTGCAACATAATTTTTTTGCTGTTTTGGTCTCACATTAGTTTGCAAGGTATATTTGTTCCTGTTTTGGTCTCATAGTATATACACATTTCTATCATCTATAAATACATTTTGCTTCTATGTTGGTGGACACCTGACTTCTTCCACACTTGAGTATTGTGAATGATGTTACTATGAATATGGAAGCACAAACATCTCATTTAGGCCCTATTTTCATTTCTTTTGGGCATATGCCATTATTATTATTATTATTATTATTATTATTATTATCATTACTTTACTTTTTTGGACATAGGGTTTCATGTAGGCCAACTCTTGTTTTCTCCTTCCTATTAGGTTTCTTAGAGAAAACTGCTTTGAGACTATGTAGAATATCTTGCTTTTTTTTTTTTTTTAAACATCAATTGATTCGTATCAGAATCAGTTATTCTGGCTGCCAAGTGGAAGTTTCCTAGAATCAGTCCGTCTTCATTTATGTGTTGACATTTTGCTCTCCTTGTACCCTATCAAATCATATTCAGTAATAAATCTCAGATCCAAAAAAAAAAAAAAAGAGTTCTTCTTTATTTGTGAATAAAGACTAATTTTATTTATGTACTCTGGGGACATCTTATTGTTCTGAGGAACACTTCCCTATGTGACTGTCCATATTTTTGGGATACGCGGTGAACATCTGTTTCTTCTTTGTCATTCACCATCAAGCAAAAGGCAAGGGTAACCTGACTTCTCCCGATAAGAGATCACACTCCCTGGCCAACCCTCCCATTTTGTCAGACTGGCGCTGTTTTCTAAGGTGTACGAAATCGCTCGCTGCAAACTACACATCCCCGAAGTCTCCCATGACGACGTCATCAGAAAGCGCCGCGCGCCGCTCAGGCTGCGGGCTCCCGAAAGCCGGCTGCAACATGGCGGATGTGCTGAGCGTTGGGGTGAACCTGGAGGCCTTTTCGCAGGCCATCAGTGCCATCCAGGCGCTACGCTCCAGCGTGAGTAGAGTGTTCGACTGCCTTAAGGATGGCATGCGCAACAAGGAGACACTGGAGGGCCGCGAGAAGGCCTTCATCGCTCACTTCCAGGACAACCTGCACTCGGTTAACCGGGACCTCAAGTAGGTACTGGCTGAAGGGATCGGGTCGAGGCCCCTCCTGGCACCTATCCCGCCGGTATCCCACGCCAGTCTTCCCAGTCATGGGCCACGCTCCTTTGTCCTCAGTCCGCTGTCATTTTCGTTCGTCCCTGGGTCCCTGCCAACCCCTCAGGGACACCTTGTCCCCCGTTCCATTACCTAGTATTCGTTCTGTTGGCCATTTAGTCCAGATTGAACTTCTGTGGGCGTCGGTCCCGTTGTAGTGTTCGTTTTCTGACGAGGAGACGAACTGTTCTCAGGAACTTCCATTTCGCTGATCTTTCCAAGTTTCTTCCCTTGAGCTCCATCACATTTGGCCAGACTACCGTTTAAACGCTGTCCCAGGCCCAACTGCGTACCTCTCGATCCGATTAGCTCCAATTCCCGTCCTCACAGCCTAAAATTCATCAATTCCACCTCACATCACTCTCAGACACTACCTCCACTACCTTTGGCCTCTTTCCATTTCCTCTCCAAAGCCACCTGCTCAGCATTGCACGTCACCATCCATTTGTTCAGCTCTTTCTCAACAAAGACCTAATTTCACGTCTGTTAACTAGGCTAATGTATCCCCAACATTTTTTTTTTTTTTTTTTTTTTTTTTAGGAGGAAGGATTTGTTTAGGTTCACAGTTTCAGAGGACTCAGTCCACTACAATGGGAAAGACATTTACATGTAGCTTAACACTTAATAATTTCTTAATATGTGGTCCCAGGGATTACATATTTCTCTTTTATTCTTATAAGACTCCTTCTTTGACTTCATTAGAGTGTTAAAAATTAGCTGAGAGGACGTTTATCAGATGCCTGGTAAGTAGAAAGCACTTTGCTTTTTGAGACATGGTTTCTCTGCCTAACAGCCTTGGCTGTCCTGGAACTCTAAATTTGTAGACCAGGGTGACTCAGAGATGCCCCTGCCCATACCTCATGAGTGCTGGGATTAAAGGCATGCACCACCACACCCAGTTTAGTAGACACTTATTGTTTGCCTGAGCTTGTATTCTCTTCCTCTCTTAGAAGGTTAGCTTTAAGGACCTTGGCCTTTTAGTTCTGAAAATGACCTTAATAGGAACAGCATTTGGTGAGTTGGTCCTTAGAATGTCTGGACAGGTTAGGGCTCCTCTCTTCCATTTCATTTTTCTCCACAGTTCCAGTGCAGGGCCTTGCACGTGTCAGACAAGTTCTTCACTACTGGGCTAATCCCCCATAACGCCTTGCACCTCTCAGTTTGGTCCAGTAGGAAGGAGGAGGAGGTGGTAGTGAAATAATGTAATGTGTATCTTTCCCAGTTTCCACACTCCTCCTTAAATTACACATGTACACAGTTTTGGTGTCAGCTTGAGGGTGACATGCTTCCCTGACTTCCATTGAGCCCACCCTGGCTTTTTTTTTTTTTTTTTTTTTCCTCCCAAGACAGGATTTCTCTGTGTAACATTGTCCTGGAACTCTCTTTGTAGACCGTGATGGCCTCAAACTCACAGAGCTCCACCTGCTGCTGGGATTACAGGAGTGTGCTACCATGCCCAATTCTCTGTTGGCTTTCTAATGGGATGCTGTAGTCCTTTTTTACTTTAGAAACTTAAGCAGTGTTAATACTACGTTGACTTATTGTATGTATAGTAGTGCCAAGAAGAAGGTGATTGAGGATTCCAAATTGAATGCAGCATGGGAGTGGTTCAAAGAGCCTTGTTGGCAGCTGGGGACTGGCTCCTCAGAATCTGCTCTTGGAGTGTGTGGTTTCACTGTTGGCTCACTTTCCCAAGCTTCTCTCTAGTTTTCCTGCTAGACTGAATTGTATTTGTTTGACACAGCCCCCTCTATAGTGTCTTCCCTTTCCATTTGTTTATTTTATTTCTTTTTTTGTTTTGCTAAGCTTTGCCATCTGTGAAGCACAAATCTATCCCAATGTGAAATGATAAATAATCATGATTTATTCAGGTACTTGTCGCTCTGCCAAATGGAGTGATCTGCACGTGGGTCCGAAAATCCTGAATGAGAGGCAGTGTTAGAGCACACTGCAAGATTTCAGGCGTCTCCTGCTGTGGATGAATCCGAGTTGTTAAAGCCTAATTTTTATGAAACGAGTGGTGTCTTTGTGCCCTTAGATTTGTTTTCCCTCTGGAATGGCATGAGACAGCTATATTGTTCTGTTTTGTTTGTCTCACTTTGTAGCCCTGGTTGGCCTAGAATTCTCTATTTAGACCAGGGTGGCCTCAGATTCAGACTGATCCACTTACATATTCCTCCTCAATGCTGGCATTAAAGGCATAGGCCACCATGATTGGTTTTGACAAGTATGTTTGAAATTACAACTCCCACTTAGGCATTTTCTTTTTTGCCCCTAGTCTTTTTTTACCTTTCTGAAATTCTTCTTAAGAGACTCTGATGGTGTCAGAAGCCTTGAGCAGTGTGCTTGGCTTTGCTAGAATAAAGTGGACTCAGGTTTATGTAGCTTCTCTCTTTACTTTTAGTGAACTGGAACGCCTGAGCAACTTGGTAGGCAAGCCGTCCGAGAACCACCCTCTTCACAACAGTGGCCTGTTAAGCCTGGATCCCGTGCAGGACAAAACTCCACTCTACAGCCAACTTCTGCAAGCATACAAATGGTCCAACAAGGTAAGGGGTGCTGCAAATGGATCGGATGGAGCAAAGCGCAGTGCTTCTCCCAGAAATGTAGAGCACAAGAGCAAGGTTGTTTGTTTGTTTGTTTGTTTGTTTGTTTTTCATCTGCATGGGCTATAGAGTTGGAATTTTAGGGTTCCTGTTAGTGATATGGAATTCTAGATCAGGTATACTTAGCCTGGAGATTGGGTGTGGAGATGAGCTTATAGAGCCCTGGGTGTTGCATGCAGTGTGCTGTGGTGTGTGTAGTTATGCCTGAGGAAGGTACATCTCCTAGCTTCCCTTAGATTACCAGGAGGTTCTGACTCCTCAGGTTTAAAGGCTGGGGATGGAAAGGTTTGGCACGCCCATTGTTTATGGTCTTGTATTGTATTTTCTGTCATGGTGGAAGGATATCTGGAGAGTGCTATGGATTAGATAATGCTTCACTTTCTCCTAAACCTATGTGCTACAGAGTATGACTTTTGTGGTGTCAATGAGTGGGCGGGTCCATGGTGTAGCCCTCAGGAAAGCGGAAAAAGGAGAACTGAGCAATAGTCTAACAGGAACCATTGGGTTTATAAACCTGGAAACAGTTTGTTTACCTAAGAGTTCATTTTGTCTGTCTGCTGTGTGTTGCATGTTTTCCTGCTGATGGGAAACTGACTCATGCTATAGAAGCCCATGCTGTCAGCCTTTCTCAGTAGCTCCTGAGGCCTGTTCTTGATTGTGACCTGCCATGTTCCTCCAGATCCACCCTGTCCTTTACCTCTTGGGTCTTGGTGGCAGATGAGCTGTGATCATTTTTCTGGTGTGTGATTATTTTTTTCTTTGAATTTCTGTGGTGGGCTTATTTTACTATTCTTTGTTTGAAGTGAGTTGGAGATTCAGAAAGACGGTTGTCATTGGGGACTAAAAGGACTTGGATCTGAATAAATTGATTTGGCCTTTTAGACCTTCCCCCAAACTCTGTGGTGCCAGGTGTAGAAACCCATCCTGGAGTTAGAGTTGGTCAATACAACGGTCAGGGAACTCCTTAGTTTGAGGGTCAGTGTGTGTATACTATATCTGTCACTCAGGTCTTCTCAGGGCTTGCTTGCTTTTGCTCTGAGACTCTCCTGGTGGGAGAAAGCATAGCCTAAGAACTGCAGGTTTGTGCATCCTTATGCCTAGAACCCTCTCAGTGACCTGTGTGGTAGGTGTTCTTAGAGAGGTTAATAGGATCCACCTCTTAACCAATCATCACCATGCTGAGGACAAAACCGCTAGCCAATGAAATTTGGAGGGATGTGACAAATTCTTTTTACCTACCCAACCAGAGCAGAAGGCATCAGGCGGAAACAGTGCCTGCTGCAGTTGCTGAGGCGAGGGGCCCTTGTGGAAGCTTCTGGTTTTCCTGGGGGTGTGCCTGGATCTGATCATGAGTTTGCCTGCTGAGTGGGCAGAAGCTGGTCAGCAGCTGCACGGCTGGACTCTGTTTGGACTTCCAGAAAAATCCTGTGTTTGGATGAGAAGTCCTGTTGTTGTGTCACATGGGTAGAGAAGCCCAAGTGGTGAGAGCTTTTTAGTAGAAAGCTTAGACAGGGACTGTTCAGGAAATGACTGTTCTTACACTGAAGTGAAGGCAGTTTACATTTGAACAAAGCTGCTTTCATAATTTAAGGAAATCAGATTGTTTGGCTATGGAAACAGGAGTCCCTCGCTCTTGCCTTTGTCCCAAGGAGGGAAAGAAATTGTATTAAGGAAAATGAATATGTGTCCTCAGAGATGCTATAGGTTAAAATATTCACGGAAGTGTATCAGTGTTGGGGAACTTTGGAAGTTTTAGGCATGCCCATGACATGTGATGGCGTGCTTCTAAAGCCATAGTGTTCTCTTACTAGTCACCTGTGTCTCCAGCAGAAGAATTCAGCCTCCTGTGTTAGAGACAAGCAGATTGAAGCCCAATGAACTGATCTTGTCATAGTTCCTAGCTGTACTGCAGTTTGAGGGTTGGTGTGTGTGGGTGTTTGTTTTGTTTTTGTTTTTCTTCTGAAACTTGATGGTCCAGTTTTGCTTAAGTTTTCAACTTTAGAAAACATTTCTCCCCTTTGGCCACATCTTAGGAATTCATGTGGTATTTTGTTCATACTCTCTCTCTTTTTAACTCATTTAGTCTGCATGCATTTCCATGGTTTATCAAAAGGCAGGGGGAGACAAATACATGGTATGTAGGTCTACAGACATTTGTTATTTCCAGGGTAGACATTACTAATCAGCTGTTGCATTCTTTCCTGCTAAGGCTGTTTGTGGCTTGGCTCTGTATCGTACAAATGTTCTATGGCAAGGCAGCACCCGCCAGGCACTTCAGAGGAGGGCTGCAGGAGCCCTTATCTCTGTAGCAGGACTTGACGTCTAATGTGGCTGTTACTTATTTCTGCCACACTGTGCTCAGGGAGAGACTTAGGATCGTGAGATCCATAAAACCAGAAAGAGAAGACAAAAGCCAGGGTGAGGGTACTTAGGCACATTTCTTCAATAAACTCAAGAAATAGCCTCGAGGAAGAAGCCAGTATTCTCATTTCCAGCTGTTGACATGCAAGAGGCCAATCATTAATTATGTGTTTTTCTTGCTTCAGTAAATGAAAAGAGATTTTAATTGCTAAAAGATTCACCATTCATCATTTTATCCAAGGAATTTAAACAGTGTGCTCAGTAATGTGTGATGGGGAGTTGGGTATCTTGCACATGTCAGCTTTCTGTGCCCATGCTGAGAATGGAAGGACACGGGGAAAGACTTTGACACCACCCATTATGTGGAGGACTTTGTGCTGTTGGCCATAGAAAGGTCTCATGCGTGTCTAATGACTACTTATTTTCTTTGGGGGAGTTTTCCTAATTTTTGTAAAGTCAGTTGGAGTATTAATTACATGGTAGTTGGCATAATTGTTAGAATAACACATTCAAAGATTAACCTAATGAAATGGTGTCAAATTGCTGTGAGCAGCACTTTCTCTATGCTGATTCGGGGAAAGAGCTGAGCTCCTGACTCTGATGCACGTATAGAGATAATTGTTCTGCAAAAGGGTGACAAGATCTCTCGATTTGGGCAGAAAATAATTGGCATCAACGCTGTCCCTGCTGTAAAGTAGTCAGTGTAGACTTTATGTCACTTGTTATGCTCAGACATGAGAGAGACTGAACTTATCCTGAAGGTCCCTTTCTGAGGATTCCGGCCTCCTGTCACCAGGCTTTTAATTTCAGGCATTGACAGTTTTCACTTGTTTGTGGCAAAGAGCTGGTTTATGTAAAGCCCTCTGTGGTCTCAGTGGGAGTTTGATCTCAGCATCTCCTGTGCTTGAGTTAGGAGGTTCACAGAAGCTGAAGTCCCTCACCTAAAAGGATGCTGTATTTGCATATAACTAAATAAATCGCCTTCTCCTTTGTGTGTGTGTGTGTGTGTGTGTGTATGGACACAAACTTGTGGAAGCCAGAGGCTGACCCTGGGGGTCTTCTTTAGTTGCTCTCCATCTTGTTTTTGAGTTGGGGTCTCTCACTGATTCTACAGCTTGGATCTGTTGTTTTGATAGAACACTAACCAGAGACAGCATAGGGCAGGAAAGGCTTTATTCTGCTTACCACTTCAGTCACCACCATCATTGAGGAAAGCTGGGACAGAATTTGAAGGTAGGCCTGTTTACTGTTCCACACAGCAGTAGCTCTGACCAAGGAACTCACTTCACGGCCAGTTGGAGTACAGCAGGAACCATGGAGGATGTTGCTGACTGGCTGCCTCTCAGCCTGGCTTGTACTCACCTGGCTAGTACTCAGGACCGTCCACCTAGGGCTTGTACCACCCATAGTACACCAGGCCTTCCTATGCAACAGTTTCTGCAAGCATTAAAGGCCAACAAGGAAACAAACCAAGAAGAAAAACTTGGTTTAGCTTGACTTAGTCAGTGCTGGTTCAAACGTCTAGAGAGTCTGACAGTAGAATAGTGTGTTGTAAGCATATTTAAACACAGTACAATTTGAAAAAGTTTCCTGCTATAATACAATCCCTGGGGTACTAGGAAGTGTAATTACATCTAAACTCAACTCACAGTACATGTGACCATCAAGACGGTTCTATAGTTTAAGGACCTGGTGTGGTCTCAGGCTTTGGTCTGGTCTGGCTCTACAGATTGCAAAGGTCACTAGGTCATTAGCAACATCCACTCTCAGCCCTTTGGGTAGAAAACAGGTAGTTATTTCCTCCTTTGAGGAGCCAACCATGAATGATTACCATTCCTGGTTTCCCTGCTGATCTGTGGGTGCAAAGGCCTTTGTGCTCCCAATACTCCTTCCCACATCAATTAACAATCAAGACAGTCCCCTATGGACCTACCCATAAAACAGTTTGGTCTGGGAATTTGTCTCTTGACACTCCATTAAAGATGACTCTAAGCTGTGCCAGTTGACTCTTAGGTTAACTAAGACACACACGGTCCAAACAGATCCTTGTGCTTGCATGGCAAATACTCTACTGACCGAGCCATCTTCCCACACTACCTAGCAACAATTCCTTGCCACCAGGCCTGGCCCTGACCATTTTCTGTGCATATCTGACACATGTTTATGGGCACAAGTTTGCATAGGTGATGAAGGGAAAGAAGTTACTTAAGTATTTGTCACTGTGGGATCTGGTACTGTTCTGGGAAAGGTGCCAGGTGCCATTCTCACAGGTGCTTTCTCCCCCCTGGTGCTCATAGTGCCTACTCTCCCACAGCGAACATGCTGGCAGAGTGGGCTGACTGCTAGTGACTACTCTTGTCAGCCTCAGCCCTGACAACTCCCCTTTCCTGGGAGGCATGACTAAAAGACTGAAGAGTAACACCACCAAAGAGGAAGCCCCGACAGCAAAGCAGCCTGCTGGTACTCCTCTGCCCTGAGGCTTGGAATTCAGATGCCGCGTGCTCTCTGGATGTAGGTACTAGAGTCAGGCTGCCTGGGTTCTGATCCAGCTCTCCACCCAGTGCCTTGGCTGAGTGAGGAAC